TACTACTATATATATATATATATATATATATATATATATATATATATATATATATATATATATATATATATATATATATATATATATATATATATATATCGGTATTAGCTACTTGTGAAAGAACATTGATGGGCTCGAAGCTCTCAACAGTCTCCTCGGTATTATAGCAGCGAGTGTCGCATAATTTTAGCCTAACAATATATCAAGAAAATGCACACTGTCGTTGTAGGGGTTGCAGTGGCTTCGTTTCGATAACATATGTGTGGCCATATGTGTCTGTTTTCAACTGTGAAAACGGCACTGCTAAGCGCCTGCAGAGCGTCCTTGTTTGGTGGGCTCTGTTTTATTTTGTATTTTCCACTCAATAAAGCACAGTAGAAAATCTTATTTCTTAGTTTGGTGACTCACTGCCTACGCTATACCTATCATTTCCCATTTAATACAGCACGTTAAAAAAACTAAGTTCTGTTATTCAATTTCTAAACTATATCTATCAGAGGTTCAACGACCTCGCCGAGGGAAGAGTCGAGCCTTCGCCTCACATGACAATTATGAAAGACGTCATGGTGGCGAAAGGTATGTTATCGCCTGTGCGTATGTGGGACTCGACATTGTTGCTGTCGGTGTCTGATTGATTGCCAGCAGTAGCGAATGGTAGGGTATAAAAGATGTAGCGCAGGATAGTCTGTGGTATGTGCTTGACTAGAATATGGGTATTGCTGGGTAAACTTATCATCACCCCAATACACGCTCATGCGCAGTTGTGGGTGAAGATTGTACCCTATTACGAATGGGTGGATATAAATTTAAAATAGATAGATAGTTGCTTTGACGAGTGCTCTGAAGTATAGTACAGAGAGGCCTGATTCTGACGCTGCAGACATGCATCTTTCTTTTGCCGCATGTTTATGTTTGACCTGTGCCTTGAGCCCAGTGTGGGACCATTGCCAGTTGTGTCTTGTGTGCATACAGCCCAAATATACACTAATGGCGCCTTTGTAAAGAGTACGGCTGTGTCAAAGATTTACAGGTACTTGTGTTGTATAGTGCTCATATTTACGGCTGGGTTAGGGATTTATAGGCGCTTGTATTTCAAATGCCACACTTTGTATTGTGCACATATTTGCGGCTGGGTTAGGGATATATGGGCGCTTGTATTTCATATGTCACACTTTGTGTTGTGCTCATATTTACGGCTGGGTTAAGGATATATGGGCGCTTGTATTTCAAATGTCACAATTTGTGTTGTGCTCATATTTACGGCTGGGTTAGGGATTTATAAGCGCTTGTATTTTAAATGTCACACTTTGTAAAGTGCGCATATTTATGGCTGGGTTAGTGATTTATAGGCGCTTGTATTTCGGATGTCACAGGCGTCCGTTTCACATGCGGGACGTGTATCAAGGCTTTGCACCTATGTACGACATATTCGTTAGATACATTATTGCACTTAGAATTTTGTTGGTATAGCTGGTGCTCGCAATGGGAAGAGTATGATACCATACCACATGACTACAACCTGTACACCGGGCTCATTCATACAACTCGTTTGGTGGTAACACTGCGAAGAACACACATTATACACAAGTTTAGGTTTACGAGTCCGTGTGGGTACAGCTCTTATTTAACCATTTACTTCGTCCGTGCAATTCCATTATCCTGGTTCTCTTCTCATTGCGATTAGTGAGTGGATTGATACAGTTTTTGTCTCGAACTTCAGCGTACATTCCCCATCAGTAGGTGGGCGTGTGTTCATGTCACCGCCTTAACAGGAGAAGTGAACATAAGTCTCTCCGCAGATTGTTTCAGACCTTCTGTATAACATCCATGGCTGCAGGTGTGGTGAATGCGGCCAACCAACAGATGACGATCAACAAGATCCAGAGCTTCATCTACGATGACGTCCTCGTGGAGTATTCCAAGAACGAACAGGTCAGTGAGTTCCAATGAGTGCTCTAGTGTCCAGTAGTGCACTAGTGTCAAGTAGTACACTAGTGTCAAGTAGTACACTAGTGTCAAGTAGTACACTAGTGTCAACCTGCTTTCCTGGTAGGTAGGTATGTTTGATCAGTGTGTATCTGCACCTATAGCCTATCAGCGACTCACAGCTCACATCGCGACGTATCTACGAAGTGACATGTATCATGCAAGTCAGCCCATATGGGCATTCATGGATGTTTGCTCGTTTCATAATATAATGATATGCTTATACAGCTTTTGTATGCTAAATAGCTCATATTAGTGTAGCGCTTTAGGCGTCGGTAACAGTACGCCACTGAAGTTTGTCAAAAAAAAATGGTTTTCTTCGGTGGCAAACCCAGTTAAAGCTTTGTCAGTGCTCTTCGAGTAGGTTTAGGGCCGACGACTGGAGTCGATTTTTCTTTTTAGCTTACAGTATGTCTGGTATCATTTTGAAGGGTATCTACATTCCAAATAACTTCTCTCGCTTCTCTTGTGTATTTTTATTTTATGTGTGTGTATCTTGTGCATATTCTCTACTACAATACTTAAGTGATAGAATTGAACGTTCCAAAATAGCTTCTCTCTCTTCTCTTGTATATTTTTATTTTTTATGTGTGTGTGTGTGTCTTGTACATATCCGCTACTATAAACTAAAGTGATAAAATTGAACGTTCCCCGAAATAGCTTCTCTCTCTTCTCTTTGTATTTTTACTTTCATGTGTGTGTCTTGTATATATACTCTACTATTATACTTAATTGATACAATTGAACGTTCCAAACTTTTGTGCGATGGTTGTGATGATTGTATTAAACACAGTCGTGCGTACGAGGATTTGTAAGCTGTTCTAAGCTGGATCATCGCTGTCTTGATTAAGTTTGTTTTCTTTCTGTAGCCCGGAAGTACGAGATACCGACGAAGTTTGAAGCTACTATCTTGAACCCCTCCCGTTTCCTGATAAAAGGCAGAGACTATCACGATCACAGTGGTAGAGACTGGCATCACGTACTCACTTTAGTTAGACACCATGGCGGTGCTCAGGATCAGATAGAAAACAAAACAAAACACAGTTGGAGTTAGTGGATGCTATCAATGTCACTCGGACAACATCTCAGTTTTGTATCCACCTCCTTCTCCCGTCCCCACGGCTCCATCTATCCTGATCTCAGATCGTAGACCTGGTCGAGAATCTCATGGCGCCAAACGCCGGTGTGCGTATTATACATAGCATGCTCATCAACAAACCTCCTGGTCTGGTCGATGAAACGGGAGCGGTGAGTGGGATCGTTTCATTGTTTTTGCCATCCGTGCCAGTTGTTTAGCTTTGCTTCGATAGGTTTGCTACCGTATGAGTAAGCGTATTCTCTGGGAATTTTGGGCTGACTATGTTCCACTCACTACAAGTCAAATGCTATAGTAGTAACACCAAATATGTTCTGTTGTTTATTCCCCAAAGGATGACAGTTATCGCTGTAGAATCAGGAAGTCGTAGTGGTGTGTAGATTGAATTTCGAAGTTCCAAATGAAGTTGTTGAAAATATGTTGTTGGGTATGAAAGATAGAAGAGTTGGATACTTTGATGTACAGTGGGTGGTGTGATTATAGCTGACTGTCATTCTCACGCACGACACCCTAAGCTTATACCCGTGAGACATATGTGTTGAAGTCTTCGTCAAACCCTATCAGTGCTAAACCATCCGACTGGCATACCGGAGACACAGCTGTTCTCGGTCTATGTGTTTCTGACGTGAAGGTTATACCACATCCTGCAAGCACCTGACTAGTGCAGCCAAGCAACGGATACAACCGAGCAAGTGTATTTGCCTACGCCCAGATCAATTGACATGTATTGTTGGACTATTTCGGGGTTTATCGCGAACCAACTGGGCAATTGGGTGACAATCAATCCCCTGCAGTCATAGAACCATCTCATATGATCTTAGATCATCGCCATACTCGATCAGTTCAGTGTGTACCTCTCTGTGTGATCGCGTTCCAAGAGTGTGATCGTGACGTTTTGACAGGTCATTGATCACTCCGCATGCAACCCCCACTCAGGTCGTCGGCGGGCGGCATCCCATCCACCAAGATCTCTTCTACTTTGACCTTCGCCCACCTGAAATGTATGACTGTTATTAGCAAGTGGCCGGAGGAGAGAGAGGGGGAAGGGGGGGGTTATTCTTTTAAACGTAGTGCAGAGGCTAGTCGCAGTCGTTTCCGCGGCCTGGTGCATATAATACGTTTTTATTTTAGTGCACGAGTTGCATCGCCCACCTTATCTGGACGTAGCAGCAGAATACTTCCTGTGTGGATGTCTTGTGTCTCGCATTGGACTTCTGGTGACTACGCTAGTTGAACGATGGCGGCACTAATTGAACCACGACAACTGCACTAATTGCACCACGACTGTACTAATTGTACCATGACTGCACTAAGTGTACCATGACTGCACTAATTGTACTATGACTGCATTAATTGTACCATGACTGCACTATTTGTACCATGACTACACTAATTATACTATGACTACACTAATTGTACTATGACTACACTAATTGTACCATGACTGCACTAGTTGTACCATGACTGCACTAATTGTACCATGACTACACTAATTGTACCATGACTACACTAATTGTACCATGACTACACTAATTGTACCATGACTACACTAATTGTACTATGACTACACTAATTGTACCATGACTGCACTATTTGTACCATGACTGCACTATTTGTACCATGACTACACTAATTGTACCATGACTGCACTAATTGTACCATGATTGCACTGATTGTACCATGACTGTACTAATTGTGCCATGACTCAGGATCGTCGCAACGTGGACAGCTATGCAAGATGTCAATCGAGACAATGGCTGCTTGGTAGTGCTCCCGGGGTCTCACAAGTCCCTATACAATACGTCGATGGGGGGCCTATTGGCACATGAGAAGCCCACGTGGAAGTACTTGAACACCGCTTGTATGTGCCTGTGGGTGAGTGGATGTTGCCTTTCTGTTTGTGTATCTTAATCCGCTGTATGTAGGTTTAGGTCTATCTATGTATGCCTGTAGTTATAGGCTTGTGCCATATCCGTATGTGCCTATGGGTGTCTGGTCGTGGCCTTTCTTTCTGTGTATCTTACTCCGCTGTATGTAGGTGTAGGTCTATCTATGTATGCCTATAGTTATATGCTTGTGCTATATCCGTTTGTGCCTCTGGGTGTCTGGATGTGGCCTTTCTTTCTGTGTTATATTCCGCTGTATGTAGGTGGAGGTCTGACTATGTAGGCCTGTAGTTATTGGCTTGTGCTATATCCGTATGTGGCTATGGGTGTCTGAATGTGGTCTTTCTGTCTGTGTATCTTAATCCGCTGTATGTAGGCGTAGGTATATCTATGTATGCCTATAGTTATAGACTTGTGCTATATCCGTATGTGCCTATGGGTGTCTGGATGTTGCCTTTCTGCCTGTGTACCAATCCGCTGTATGTAGATGTAGGTCTATCTATGTATGCCTATAGTTGTATGCTTGTGCTATATCCGTATGTGCCTATGGGTGTCTGGATGTGGCCTTTCTTTCTGTGTATCTTAATCCGCTGAATGTAGGCGTAGGTGTATCTATGTATGCCTATAGTTGTATGCTTGTGCTATATCCGTATGTGCCTATGGGTGTCTGGTCGTGGCCTTTCTTTCTGTGTATCTTAATCCGCTGTATGTAGGTGTAGGTCTATCTATGTATGCCTGTAGTTATAGGCTTGTTCTATATCAGTATGTGTCTATGGGTGTCTGGATGTGACCTTTCTTTCTTTGTATTTTAGTCCGCTGAATGTAGGTGTAGATCTGTCTATGTATGCCTGTATTTATATGCTTGTAATATATTCGTATGTGCCTATGGGTGTCTAGATGTGGCCTTCCTGTCTGTGTAGCTTATCCGTTGTATGTAGGTGTAGGTCTGTATATGTATGCCTGTAGTTATAGGCTTGTGCTATATCCGGGTTGTACAGTTCTAGGTGCGTCGCGTGAGAGCGTGTTGTAGATTTGATTTGATTTCGCACGCATACAGACACACACTGGCGGTATTTACAACCCTGTGGGCGGGCATGGGTCCTGCGTCCGCGTATTAAAGCTACATCTCACAATGGCACGTACATATATCAGCTGTCAGCGAATTTTGACGCCAGACCTTCGCAGAAGTATATCCAATATTTTTTACCTAACACGTATACATTGATTCAACCTTCAATCACCACTATTGCCTGTGCTAACCTTCCGGCTTTGGGTTTCACAGACTATGGCGTGCGCGACTTGCCCCCAGACTGGCGAGACCAACGCGTGCACGTGCCTATGAGCGCAGGAGATACCATTCTGTTCCATCCCTTGTTGCTGCACGGCTCAGGGCGCAACCGGAGTGGTGGCTACAGACGAGCCATCAGCACCCACTACGCGAGTGCGGTACAAAGCCTTTGTTTATCTTGATAGGCTACCTATTTTTATTTATAGGCTGTGTTTTTGTGTTGTAATTGCGAATCATGGTTTTGTGCGTGCTGCGACGGTGATTGTGCACCGAGTTGTACTACGCTCTAAGGGTTGGAAGGTTGATCCCTTTATCAGTCCGATGGGGCTTGAACTGCGACATGTTTATCTGTCGCCATGACAACACGATTGCGGAGTCGTATAGTCATTATTTCATTCCTTGCGAGCTTCGACGCTATAAACATACAGATATGTGCATTCGCATATACCTGAGCACACGAGTTGTTAGTTGATACCACATACTGGCGGCTTTGCAGTAATGGTGCAATAGTTGCGATGCTAGACACGTGTCCTTCATAATTGTCGATCCTCCACTGAATCCAGGTAGCAGGTATATGTGTGCGTCTGAAGGTCAAGCCGGGGTTGACTTTTTGTCGGGACACCTCGTCGCAGTGTGAAAATGTGTGTGTAGCTATGCTCGTTTACAGTTGCCATCGCTTATGACTATGTGGTCTTGTCAAGTGAGCGAACTGTGTGCGAGTTTTTGGCACCCTACTGCACGGTCTCAGACACTTTAAACACTATCCAATCAGCTTCCCGCCTGCTGATCACTGTACACCTAGCTGTCACTGGACTGAAGACAATGGATTTGTCTTTAGATTGTTGTACATTTGCGCGCAATGTATATCCCTATCAATATTGAATATTTTCAATACAATTGTGGTTGTCTTAAACATTCAACCATGCATACGGTTTTGTACACACGCACTGCCTCGCCTCGAATCCATAAATAGAAATGTCATACCGAGCCCTACGAAGAAACTACCATGGCTATGTGGGACGATATGCTTCCCGCTATGATTCGCAGAGTGCAAAGAAATGGGATACTTTCCGCCGCCATCGCATTGACGATAGGACCTATCGGTAAGTGAGAGGTCTATTTTGATTGATTTTGACTAAGGTGTATTGTTCGCGCATCTGGTATGCTCACCATCTGCGAATAAGTCAACAAAAGGACACCACAGGATTTCCCGGATGTTATATCAGTTATGGACTGATGAAGGTCTTCCTATTACTACCCTCCAGCCTACGGTTGCCTCTTCAAAGCAAAGTTCGTTGAATTAACGCCTGCACGCTTAAGTGCCGCGGCATGTATTGGTGCATTGTGTGGACTGGCAGCAGGTAGTGTCAAAATCAAGCAAAACTTCTGCACGCGAAGTTTGATAAGACTCAGTCTGTACTTGGGTGTACACAGAGGGCATCATATGTTGGTCAGAGCCCCGAAGGAAGCCGGTTCCAGTTAGAAGTTACCGGCCACAGATGAACAGTTTCTTCACTTTCACTACACATATAGTGGGATTTTATGGCGAAAGCTAGACTTTATCTACCCGAAAATACGAAATATACCTTATGCTATGAGAGCAGAAATACTTCACAATGCATACTATAATATGATGGAGCACATTGTGTGACTACCAATAAAGCAATCGCCAGCCAATAATAGAATTCAGTACATACAGCATCATCCATCAAGCATATGTTTCAAGGTATTCGTGGGATTAGTACGCTACAATGATAGAATATGAGGAAGAATGGTCGCTCTATAACTCTGTCGTCAAATATGAAACTGTGGATATAAAAAACAGAAATATCATGTAGCAGAGATGGTTATCTATATATAATTTATAGCTGTATACAATATCTAGTAGTCGAAGCAGGTGTTCTAACTTTGAGCTAGACCAGTATCCTTGCCATCAACATGTAGCATACTGGCGGCTACATCCACTGGCACGGCAACGTACGAGTCATGAAGGGTCGTCAGAGTGGGAAGCTCGTAGTTGAAGATTCTTAGCAGCTTCACAGGCTCTGTACCGCGATTTTCTATGTATACCGTCACACCAACCTCGTTTAGTACCAAGTATCCCGTTTCTACATCCCAGGTGCCACTCCTTGTGCCGCGCATATCAGCTTTCCCTACATGCACATCGATGCCTTCCAATACGTAAATCAATTCGTCAGCATTATCAGTCCAATAGGGTTCTAGTACAGCTCCCGGAGCAATTTCTGTGTACGCGATGGACATTCCTTGCAGAATCGGGAAGTCATTTGCGTCCACAACTCCTGTGCTTACTTTACCATTTGTATCAGATCTGGGTGCTTCTCGCAGATTCTGGTCTATTCCAGATACTAAATAATCAATCATGGTACTTGGCCCGGACTCCGCGTTCGCTAGTGAATCGCTATTCCATTCAGGTGTTGGGGCGTCGAGTACTGTTCTAGGCCCTGTATACCATTTTTCTACCATATCCACAGGAATATCCAACGTGCGAGACAAGACATCTGCATCAATATGCTTCATCACTTGTGGCATGTCGAATGACTCTAAGTTGTCAGTATTGAATATCGCTATCCCGACTAATGGTTCAGACCCGTCCACGTTTTCAAAGTGATGAGAAAACCCAACTGGTGCATAGAACGCGTCACCGGGCCCCAAAAGAAAGGTCTCTGTAGGTCTGTGGGGTTGTTCCACGGTTGGAACGGAAATGCCGTTTAAATTTTTGTGCGCAACACTTGTCACTGTCACCCGGCACTTACCGGAAATAATATAAGACAGTTCATTTGCGTTCGGGTGCCAGTGTGATGTACGTACTTCTCCCAATTGAGTCATGTTGAACATCCCCAAGTTGAGCTTCCCACCAGGGGTCGTGCCCTCGCCAATAGCATCGACGCCAATCCATTCGACCGATCCCGGCGCATGAGCACTACCCCTCACCCAATTGATGGTTCCTACTTCGTTGTCTTCGGTGCTATATTGTTCGGGGTCTGCGGCCAGAAAGTTGTAGATAGTAGATGAATTTTCACTGCCAGTACTCAATTGCCTCAATCTACGATCGCTTGTAGAACGACCTTGACAGCTATTTGATGCTACAATTAGTGTGACTATGTTGATGAGAGAGCTGTACTTCATTCTTGTTAGTTAAATTGAACTACGTATAGTGATGTTATTTTGGTGCAATACGGATTGACGATCCTACTATTTATCCTTTTTGTTAAATTTATTACGCGCATGCCACTACACTGAATTGCACAAGCACAAACTATGCAATCTTAGCTATCACATGCATGAAAATTTTAAAAATACAGTCACGGCAGAATGATGAATGTTACATATTTAGTTATTTACATATTTTTTCTAATTTCACGGTTTTATTTTCGTCCTTTTTTCAGTTTTATGCCCTGCAATAGTCATCTACTCTTTCATCTCTAGAGAGAGCTAACATAGTTTTTAGTATGTATGCTTTTTTTGTTTAAATGCAATGAAGATGTGTACTTTAAAAGTGGTGTACTTTTAAAGGTGGTATGTAACTATGTATGTATGTCACAGTATGCGAGACTTCGTGACTCGTCACTTGAGAAGTTGTGAGTTGTGACTTGTGTGATGTGTATTCAGTATTGTCACTATTGTGTCCAGTTGACAGTTGTCCACTGCCTGTCTATCTCGGATCTCTGAGTCTGAGCTCTGATTCGGTTATTCCTCATTCCTGAGGCCCTAATTCGCATACTCACTGCTCCATAGCTCGCACTTTAAAAAGATTTAAAAGTTGAAAATATTAAAATTATACTGATATGATATGTATCAATAATTCAATAGGCGGTCGTGGAGCCGGAGTCGGTGCTCGTAACTCGGCCTGGAGTATATTTTTCATAAACAATCCATTCATATTGTTGTATTAATGAGACACTATTTAGTCACTCTGGTGCGGTTGCCTTAAGATAGTCGGACAAATGACCCCTCCTTGCCTCGACCCATGGAGCACGAAATAATGACCCGATTCTAGAGTTTGATAGTGGAAAATGCTCAGGGAGACCTGATTTGAAATATCACCCGGACACATTTTTTTATTTTGTACCTGTTTCAAAACCTGATTCTGACTGATTTGGAAAATATTGGCCGTTTTTTCAGTATTCACCCTTCCAGTACGAATTTTGGACTTTTGAGGCCAGAAATCGACATGCACGGTCATTTATAAGATCTGTCGAACTGTTAGAATAATGATATTGATATTCCTTCAGGTCGAAAAGGATATTTATGTGTGTGACACGCACATTAACGCTATCCTTGAGTTCAGTGCAGCAATCACAGTAGTATTGATATTAAATTCAGTGCAGCCCAGTAGTATTGATATTACATATGTCTATTTCTCCTGAAGTTCCATTGCGAGTGCAACCCAATCGAGCGGTATTGGGGCCGAGCCAAGTTTGAGGTGCGAGAAAAATGCGATGATACGTGGGCAGGCCTTCAAAAACATGTCATCGAAGCTCTGAACAATGTTAAACTGGATACAATTAGATGCTTTGTGAGGGGTGCCTATCGTTACCTCGATTGCTATGATATGGGTCTTACTCTGCAACTTGCAGCGTTTGCAAAAAAAGAAATATACGTCTCATCGACGTGTACCTGAGAATGTATATGAAATAGTCACCGCCGAGATGGCTAATAAGAAATGAGCCAGCAGAAGTTCAAGTACTGCTTTTTTTTTACTATAACCCGGAGACAGCTTTAATTAAAACATCATCCATTCTGTAGGGACAGATCTCGCATTATAACATGTTATCTTTTCTGTGGGATAGAATTCTACTATCAAAAGACATACAGTAATCAGTTCTGATACATGTGGGCACGGGCAGTGTCAATGTTGGCCACCCCAGGTCCATATATTGGCTGCCCCAGGTCCAAATATAGGCCGGTTCAAAAATGGTCGAAAATTTTTATGGCAATTTTGGCTTCCTCTCAACCAGCCTAATCCCACCATGCAACCCGATTTTGCGGAATTAAATTTTTTCCGTGTGTAATTTGCAATTTATTTATTTTAAACCATTTGGCCGACAATAAACAAAACAAAAGGTCAAATATGAAAAAGTAACCAAAAACGAATAACAAACTTTCATCAGGTGTACCAGATCTTTTTTAGAAATATGAGTGAAATCTCAAATCTGAGTTCATTGAGTATCGCCTGATTGACAGATTGTTAGGATAATGGTTGCTTATAAAGTCAAAATGTGCACAGGAATAGTATGCGATGTGTACCGATACATATTTGCATATATCAAAGATACAAGTCCAATCGAAAGGTATATAAACACAGATAAATAGCAAGTATTGTCCACTTTAAAATCAATCGAAAAATACGAATCAATATGGGATTTTGCTTGTCTGTTCCTGTACTGGCCTTGGCTGTAGCCTGACAGCTGTCCATGGGGCTTCGACCGTGGACATCGCTATACCATCTTGCGAGTGCGGAAACGGTAAACTTAAACTATGGGGCCCAGGTGGACCGCACACGGCTTTTCTAGAGCCTGCAGCTCTGTTCAATAAACAACAAGCCGAACTCTGTATGACAAATCCGATGGAGATAGATATCTGTTGGGGACCAGAAGACACGTGGCGCTCAAGTGCTATGGAATGTGCTGGGGGATTTTTCACCGCAGCACAGCAGCAACTGGGAGGCTTTTTGCGCGTATATGAAGAAATCGTAGATGAGTCTACCGTTATGCCCATAACCCTACACGTGTCGGCCATTTTGGTTAACAAGGGCAATCCAAAAGGTATTGAGAGTATCAACGACCTATTTATTCCCAATCAAAATATTAAACTAGTGGTGAATGATGGTAACTACCATGACAATCTTACATCAGCGACTGGATTGTGGGAGGATGTAGTAGGTCGCTCCTTTAACGTAGAGGACATAAAAGCTGTGAGAGATAAAATATTATATTTTTCAAGGGAAGTGGGGACGCTCGTGACACGCTACTTGGTACGAACCCGGACGTTGACGAACAAGCCGATGCTTGGATCACTTGGAATGACTGGACCGTAGCTAATTCCGATGTTTTCGACGAGATACCTATCGATCTAAGATATATCATCGCTCGAGATGTGTCCATCATTGCCACTGACAAGACCAGCGAGTCGAATGTGGTTTTGCTTCAGCAGTTCTGCGATTTCTTACAATCGGATGACGATGATGTGAACGCAGCAATGCAAAGTGCTCGTTTCCATAAATCCTGGGCTTTCTCTTCTCCGTAGGTGTCAGCTGTCTTGTATTGTAGTAGTATATAAGATATATGATTCCATCGTCATATACAAAACCAGAGTCAATAGAATATACGGTCGAGCATTGATACTATTGAATCTGGTTGTTATCGATGCTATGGTGATCACGAATCTATGATACAAGTTTCAAGTGCTCACAACCGTGTTCATTTCTTTTCAGTAAAATCATATCCCACAACAACTTCTCCATATTGCTTTGCTTATTCTGAACTCACAAATATTATGTTTATACTCGCACCTGCGCGAAAGTTCATCTTTCAATAATCGTATGTACCAAATGTACTTGCAAATTGATTACATGCACACGGAATCCATTTTTATATAGTCTTTTGAAAAACATCTTCACCCAAGCAACCTAATATAATAATCTTAGATCTCTTGGTATTTATCATCATTGATATGTAAATATGTTCATTTGTTGTATGTTCACAATTAAATAATAAAAATAAAGAATCTTTTTTAAAAAACGGGTCCCAAGTCAACCTTTGTGTGTATTTACTGTGTATTCTGTGTAGTGTGTACAATAAAGGCACCATTCTGTGTATTTATTTTTATAAATATTTTAGTCACTGTAGTGTGTAGGCTACTAGGTGTATTTCTTTTTTAAATAAAAACCACTAAAAATGCGAATGTTTTTTTTTGTTTTGGGCGGGAGAAATAGAACCAAAACCCTAAAACCTTAAACCATATTTACATATTAGTTTACAATTTACATATGTAAATATTCTGGCGGGAAAACGAGCTTTTGTCCGAGAAAAAAAAACCCGTTCAGAAAATTTCATACCGAATGCGGCCTGTGACTTTGTGAGTGTCTGTGACTGTGAAGTGTGAGCCTGTGATTAGGCTGTGAGCCTGTGAGTAAGTGTCCGTGCCTGTCGCTTGACTTTTTAGTCTTGGATTCTTGACGCATATACAAAATATATCACATATTTTAATTTTGATACATATTCTCCTTGTGTGTTTAGAGTTTAGACTTGGCCAGTAGAGTGTCGACTGTAGTAATAAATATGTATTTAAATGCATATATAGGGCTTTTAGAACGCTGAATTTGTTACCTTTGGCTATTTATCTCAACTGCTCGGCCGAGTTCGCCAGGGTTGTGTGCGTGCCTGGCTAAAACAGCGGCAATACGTTTCAGGCTACCAATACGACTATTGTGCAAAAAGTCATATGGTCGCAGCTATCCGCTCTTGAAGCTGGCATAAAAGATATATATATTTCTATTAAATCAAGATAAGCAACTACAAAGTAAGCAATGGCCGAGAACATTGGAGAATGTATACTTTGCGAGAAGGAGAGTGACATCAGTTGCGTCTGTAAACGATACGAGTACTGCTCGCGAGAATGTCAGGTAAATATATCTATAATTTTAATATTTTATGCTTCTCTACCCAATGTATTGTACTTATTGCAAAAACTAAACGTACTCAAGAGCAAAGACCATATAATTCCGCTCAGCTCGATTGCTAACCATTACCATATTATCCCCTACTACGAAGTATTGTTGGCACCACAGTGAACTGTCAACCAGTAATTCGAATTCAATGGTTAATCGGTTTCTTTAGTATAAATTCATATTGATATTATATTACATATATATATATATATATGTGTGTGTGTGTGTGTGTGTGTGTGTGTGTGTGTGTGTGTATATATATATATGTGTGTGTGTATGTATATGTATGTATATATATATGTGTGTGTGTGTAT